ATTTTTCATTTTGTAGCTCTTTATTTCCACTGAAGTTGTACAATCATGTGCCATAATGTGGTCTATTTTTATCCACTCAAGTGTCCTGAGCAGTTGACTGCTTCTTTCTAGGTACCCAGGCCCTTCAGTTCTGCAGAATTTTCATGTACTATATCCACGGTAATTTCTTATGATATATATATACACATATATATGTATATATACATATATATACATATATACATATATATGTGTGTGTGTGTATATATATGTGTATATATAGTTTGTTTGTTTGGTTTTGAGACAGGGTCTCACCCTGTCACTCAGGTTGGAGTGAAGTGGTTTGATCAGAGCTCAGAGCAAGCGGACTATAATTTTGGCCTCCTGGGCTCCGGCAATCCTGTTGCCTCAGCCTCCTAAGTAGCTGGGACTACAAGTGGATGCCACCATGCCTGGCTGACTTTTATTTTATTTTATTTTGTAGAGATGGGCTCTCACTGTGTTGTCCAGGCTGATCTTGAACTCCCGGCCTCAAATGATTCTTTCCCATCAGCCTCCTGAGTGGCTGGGATTACAGCTGTGTCCAGCCCATGATGATTTCTTTATTTCTATTTTCTCTTTCTCTATTTCTACAACTCCTATTATTCATATATCTAGTATTTTGGATGGAATATCTTTGAATTTTCTTAGCTTCCCTTTACTTTTTCCACTTTTTGTTTTGTGTTTTTGCTCTACTTACAGAGATATTTCCTTAACTATATTTTAAACCTCTTCTACTGAGTTGTTTATTTTTATCCTTTAAAAAAGAGATGGAGACCATTCTGGCCAACATGGTGAAACCCTGTCTGTACTAAAAATACAAAAAATTAGCTGAGCATGGTGGCACTCGCCTGGGAGGCTAAGGCAGGAGAATTGCTTGAACCTGGGAGGCGGAGCTTGCAGTGAGCCAAGATTGCACCACTACACTCCAACCTGGATGACAGAGAGAGAATCCCTCTCAAAAAAATTAAAAAAAAATAAAAAAATAAAATTATTATTAAGAGCTCTTTTTCTCTGACAGTTGCCTTTTAATAGCATCCTTTCTTATTTCTTGCAGCAGTATACTCTCATGTCTCCAAGGAAATTAATGATAGTTTCTTTGAAGTTTTTATCTTGGCATAGACTATTCTCTTTAAGTTGTTTTATTTTTGACTTATGTATTCTGCTTCTGCTCACTCTCCCTTCATCCTTCTCTCTTTCTCATTCATGCTCTCTTTTTCCCCTCACCCTCTCTTCCCATGTTGGAGATTTTTTCTTAGCTGCCTGGTGATTTTTAGCTTTTGTTCACAATTAAGGATGGGGTAACAAAAACATAAAACACTGATTGGAGGTTTTGTGTGCATTGTTGCTTATTGCTGTTCTATACACTTCAGTCTAGTGTGAGCTGACTGCTTGTTTAATTGGGCTAGCCCCAATTTCATTATCTTTTTTCCCTTTGAGTTGGTTAGAAAAGAATATTCTAATCCCTTTCTTGGTTGCCATTGTTTTGGTAGCCAAGTAGGGGAAGCAGTGGTGGTTCCAATCCTCAGTTTACAGTATTTCACTAAAATTTCTTACTTTTTTTTTTTGAGACAAGATCTTACTCTGTCACCCAGGCTAGAGTGCAGTGGAATCACCTTGGTTCACTACAACCTCTGCCTCTCGGATTCAAGCGATTCTCCTGCCTCAGCCTACAGAGTAGCTGGGATTACAGGCATGCGCCACCATGCCTGGCTAAGTTTTGTATTTTCAGTAGAGACGAGGTTTCAACATGTTGGCAAGGCTGTTCTTGAACTCCTGACCTCAGGTGATCCACCCGCCTTGGCCTCCCAAAGTGCTGGGATTACAGGTGTGAGTCACCACCCATGGTCAGTATTTCACTAAAATTTCTTGTTAATATAGTACTCATTCCTCAACTGTGCCTGGCATTGTCCAGTTCAAAGCCCAGAGAATCAACTTCACTCCTCTGCAGGAGTTTGGGAAGGACAGTCACGTGACTGTACCAAGTGGGGCAGGGGACCCAAGGTCTAATTGCTTCTACAACAAACTTGCAAGCAATTCTTCTGTTTTTGTGTCATTTTTACCCCTTACTTACTGGGATAACTATTGCTACCAATTCCTGAGACTTTTGGTTTACATTGGGTTGCTTTGCAGGTTTTCCTACTGCCAACTTGGGGATTCTGCTGCCCATTATCCCTCATCCTTCTAATTTTTCAAAATTTTTTTTCTTTTTGAGACAGAGTCTCGCTCTGTCACCCAGGTTCAATCTCGGATCACTGTAACCTCTGCTCATTGCAACCTCCACCTCCCAAGTCCAAGAGATTCTCCTGCCTCAGTCTCCCAAGCAGCTGGAATTACATGCACATGCCACCACACCAGGGTAATTTTTGTATTTTTAGTAGAGACGAGGTTTCACCATGTTGGCCAGGCTAGTCTCAAACTCCTGATCTCAAGTGATTGGCCCGCCTCAGCCACCCAAAGTGCTGAGATTACAGGTGTGAACCACCACGGCTGGCCTCCAATTCTATCCGCTAATGTGAGCTATGACTTTTACAAAAGTTTGTGCTTTTTAAAACTGTAGTTTTAGTATGAAATGACTAAATCTACTTTTTTTTTTTTTTCCCCTGGAAGCCCTCAGTTGCCTATTGTTGCTGAAAATGTCTTCAAAATGCCCGGAGGGCTTAAACGTAAATGCCTCTGGGAGAGGTATCACATTTTTTTAAACTGATGTCATACTGTTTTTTGAGTAGAAATTGATAGGTAGAGGGTGCATAAGAAAAGAGAAACTGTATAAAACTTGAAGACCCAGGTGTTCCAGGAACCAATTCTAAAGACATATTTGATTTGAAAAAAAAATTCAGTCAAATGTGTTCATTGTAAGCTTCTGAACAGACACTCTCCTTAAAGTGCATTTCTGACTTTTTTCTTTTTTTAAACTCTACTTCATTTTGGGTGAATTTGTGCGAATTTTTTTTTTTTTTGCCTTTCTATTAATAATTCTTATGACAGAAATAATAGTGATAATTATTTTAAAATAATTTTTAATACAATTACAATTATAATTATAAAAATACAATTTATAATTATGTAAGGAAGTGATACTACCTTCAATATCTGTAGCTTCTAACAAGTGACAAGTCCTGTACACACACACACATATTTTAATATACACCATGTTCTCCCCCATCCTATGTGTCAAGGAACAATTCTTTCTCAGGTTGAGAGGGCTGACAATGACTACAATAAATGTACTATTTACCTTGGCTATAATGTCCTAATTTTCACTTATGGCTCTCAAGGTATAGTAGCAGGGCTCAGATAAATCAAATCCTTGTCATGAAAGAGCTTTCTTTAACCAATTTATGAAATAGAAAGCACACTATTTCCAAGGAAGGTTAAGTGCAATGTATTATGCAGATAAAATAAGGTATTATCGGTGTAAATAGAATACACTGATACGGTACTCCATAGGAAGGAGGTTCTATTTGCATGGCAGAAATTTCATCATTCTGATTAAAGCTTAAACGTGTTGCCGTGTGGGGTGTATTGCTGAATACTTGACGTGGGAACTGTGATTTGGCTTCACACTGCAGGAAACTTTAAGAGATCCACAACTCAGAGAACATTATTTTTTGGGTAATGGGTATTGGGTGTATTGTGAGGAATGTCAAGTTCTTCTGGTGCTTAGGAGGGCGAAGCAGCAGCAGGAAAGAGCGGTCCAATGGTTGAGGTACGGCTTAAAGGTTCCCACTCTCATGCCTTAGGAAAAAAGAAGAATTTGGAAATGTTCTTCAGAAATCACCTAATTTATGCCTTGGACATTTGAAATAATTATAACTATATCCCATTTTTTAGAGACTTCAAAAACATGATTCTGTAACTTTTCTCAGAAGTACGTTGTTGAACAAGGGAGTTCTTCCTTATATCTTACTTGTGTCTTTCCTTTTCTGCTGTCTTCAGTGGGGTAAGAATAAGGAATATCTTGTGAGGCCAGGCATGGTGGTTCACGCCTGTAATCCCAGCACTTTGGGAAGCCAAGGCGGAAGGATCACTTGAGCCCAAGAGTTCGAGACCAGCCTGGACAACAGAGTGAGACCCCTCATCTCTACAAAAAGAAAAAAGAAAAGAAAAAAAAAAAAGCCAGATATGGCGGTAGGCACCTGTAGTCCCAGCTACATGGGAAGCTGAGGTGGGAAGATTGCTTGAGCTTGGCAGGTCGAGGCTGCAGTGAGCTCTGATTGTAACACTGTGCTCCAGCTTGGGTGACACAGCAAGATCCTGTCTCAAAAAAAGAAAAAAAGAGAAATACCTTGTGGCAAACAGTTATTCCTCAGGTTTTCTTTCCTCCTGATGCCTAGACTGAAAATTCTTTTTTTTCTCTTTAAGACAGTCTTACTCGGTCACCCAGGCTGGAATGCAGTGGTGCAATCTTGGCTCACTGCAACCTCTGCCTCCCGGGTTCAAGTGATTCTCCTGCCTCAGTCTTTTGAATAGCTGGGATTACAGGCATGTGCCACCACACTTGGTTAATTTTTATATTTTTAGTAGAGACAGGATTTTGCCATGTTGGCCAGCTGGTCTTAAACTCCTGACCTCAAGTGACCTACCTACTTTGACCTCCCAAAGTGCTGGGATTAGGGGCATGAGCCACTGAGCCTGGCCTCTTTTAAAATGTATATATTTTTACTTTATTAAAAAAATGTAATGGGGCCGGGTGCGGTGGCTCAAGCCTGTAATCCCAGCGCTTTGGGAGGCCGAGATGGGCGGATCTTGAGGTCAGGAGATCGAGGCCATCCTGGCTAACACGGTGAAACCCCGTCTCTACTAAAAAATACAAAAAAACTAGTCGGGCGAGGTGGTGGGCAACTGTAGTCCCAGCTACTCGGGAGGCTGAGGCAGGAGAATGGCGTAAACCCAGGAGGCGGAGCTTGCAGTGAGCTGAGATCAGGCCACTGCACTCCAGCCTGGGCCACAGAGCAAGACTCTGTCCCCCCCCAAAAAAATGTAATGTGGAATGCTTCAGGAATTTGCATGTCATCCTTGCACAGGGGCCAAGCTAATCCTCTCTGTATCTTTCCAATCTTAGTATGTATGCTGCCAAAGCAAAGCAAGCACTAGACTGAAAATTCTGACAACAAATCTGAGTTGGGTTAATTATTACATTGCTGAACACCTTTTAATGTTATTAAAAATGTGTAACTTGGCCGGGTGCGGTGGCTCACGCCTGTAATCCCAGCACTTTGGGAGGTCCAGGCAGGTCCTCAGGTCCAGGATCACCTGAGGTCAGGGGTTCGAGACCAGTCTGGCTAACATGGTGAAACCTCATCTCTACTAAAAATATAAAAATTAGCTAGGCGTGGTGGTGGGCGCCTGTAATCCCAGCTACTTGGGAGGCTGAGGCAGGAGAATTGCTTGAACCCAGGAGACAGAGGTTGTAATGAGCCGACAAGGTGCCACTGCATTCCAGCCTGGGTGACAAAGTCAGACTTTGTCTCAAAATAAATAAATAAATAAATAAAATGTATAACTCTATCTGGGCACAGTGACTCGGACCTGTAATCTGAGTACTTCAAGAGACGGAGGTAGGCAGATCACTTGAGGCCAGGAGTTCGAGACCAGCCTGGCTAACATGGCAAAACACCATCTCTAATAAAAATACAAAAATTAGTAGGGCGTGGTGGTGGGTGCCTGTAGTCCCAACCTCTCGAGATGCCGAGGCAGGAGAATCGCTTGAACCGGGGAGGCAGAGGTTGCAGTGAGCCGAGATCATGCCACTGCACTCCAGCCTGGGCAACAGAGTGAGACTCTGTCACCAAAAAAAAAAAAAGTATAACTCTGTGGCTAAATACTAGTTTAGGTTGAAATTTTGTATGGCCTTTTTCATTAGTGTAGTTATGATAATATCATATTTAATAATATACTTATATCTACTGAAAAATTAATTTTTCTAGTATGTATAGTAACCTTTTCTTCCTGATATGCATTTTATCTTTTCAGCAAGCCCTCATCTTCTATTTTCATTTCCTGTAACCCTCAAATAGTGTTAGCCAAGTTATCAGCTGTTTATTAACATCCCAGTATTCATTCATTTATTTCTTTGATCATTTAAACACCTTTTTGTGAAAGACATAGGGAAGAGGATATAAAAAAATGTAAGATTAGGATCCATGGTTCCTGGAGTTCACAGTTAAGTCTTAGACACTTGTAAATTTTAATTTTAATTTTATCTTTAATTATTATTATTTTTTTTACAGAGATGAGTCTCACTACATTGCCCAGGCTGGTCTCAAACTCCTGAGCTCGAGCAATTCTCCCTCGTCAGTCTCCCAAAGTGCTGAGATTACAGACATGAGCCAGCATGCCTAGCTGGCACTTGTAAATTAAATGGCAGTGCAAGGTAGTTTATAATTAAATATTCAGTTTGTGGCAGATAGTAAGCTTTGAGATTTCACAGGAGAGAGTCACGAAGGTGGGTTTCTGTGGTTGAGAAAATTTTTATGGAGAAGTGACTTAAACTGGGTCTTGAAGCACAAACACAATTTAAACAGCTGGAAAGGAAGAGACCAAGTCAGGCTGGAAAGGGAGCAGGTTGAAATGAGCTGATATGTGTGGAAATAATATGGAATTCATCCTGAAGAGAATGGAGCTTGCATTGGGAAGTAATAAGGCTAGTAAAGTGAGTCATGGTTAGATAAAAAGGGCCTTGAAAATTCCTAAGGATTTGGTTCTGTGGAAAATGGGTTTTGGAAGAGCAAGTGACAGAATAGTTTAAGAAATTGAACCTAGGCTGGGCACGGTGGCCCACAGCTGTAATCCCTGTGCTCTGGGAGGCTGAGGCGGGTGGATCACCTGAGGTCAGGAACTGGAGACCAGGCCGGCCAACATAGTGAAACCCCATTTCTACTAAAAATACAAAAATTAGCCGGGCGTGGCGGTGCATGCCTGTAATCCCAGCTGCTCAGGAGACTGAGGCAGGAGAAATGCTTGAACCTGGGAGGCAGAGGTTGCAGTGAACCAAGATCATGCCACTGGACTCCAACCTGGGCGACAGAGTGATACTCCATCTTAAAAAAAAAAAAGTAGAAAGTGAATCTGGTGATAACGTGCAGTACAATACAGCGGTGAAGGGCCCGGGTGCTGAATGAACAAGGCACACTGCCTTGGTTATTTATTTGCTGTGTAAACTTGGCGAGTAATTTATTCATTCTGGGCCTTAGTTCTCTCATTTAAAAAAATTGATTTTTTGATTTTTAAAATGATTTATTTATTTTAATTTTTTAAATGGACAAACTGTACATTTTCATGGGCTACATAGTGATGTTTCAATACATAGACTGTATAGTGATCAGATCAGGATAATTAGCATATCCATCATCTCAAACATTTACCATTTCTTTGTACTGGGGACATTCGATATCCTCCTTCTAGCTATTTGAAACTATATGATATATTATTGTTAACTGTAGTCATCCTACAGTGGAATAGAACACTAGAACTTATTCCTCCTATCTAGCTGTAATTTTGCATCCTTTAACAAATCCTTACTTATCCCTCCCTATTCATCCTTTTTACCTCCCTTTGCCAGCCTGTAGTAGCCTCAGTCCTACTTATTACTTCTATGAGATCAACTTTTTTAGCTTCTACATATGAATGAGAACATGTGGTGTGTAGCTTTCTGTTCCTGGCTTATTTCACATGGTAAGATTTCCTCTAGTTCCATCTATGTTGCCACAGATGACAGGATCTCATTCTTTTTTATGGCTAAATAGTAATCCATTGTGCATATATCCCACATTTTCTTTATTTGTTCATCTGTTGTTGGACACTTAGGTTGATTCAATAATTTGGCTATTGTGTATAAGGCTGAAATAAATATGGGAGCGCAGATATCTCTTTGATATAATGATTTCCTTTCCTTTGGATAAATGCCCAACTGGAGAATTGCTGGACGACACAGTAATTCTGTTTGTAGTGTTTTGAGGAACCTGCATACTGTTCTCCACAGTGGGTGTTCTCATTTACATTTCCACCAACAGCATATGACAGTTCCCCCTTCTCCACGTCCTCACCATCATTTATCATTTATTGTCTTTTTGACAATAGCCATCCTAACTGGGGTGAGAAAAAATATTTTATTCTTAATTGTGATTTAAAAACACTGTTCCTTTATTTTTGAAATTGAGGTATTAAATAATAACACCACCTACCTCTAGAGCTATTGTGAGGAGTGAATGAGGTGAATTATGTAAAATGCTTGTTACTTACAGAAATGCCTGGTGCATAGTAATCTTTCAAGATATATTAGCAAAAATTTTTCATCTGAAAGGGAAGAGATTAAAGAGAATGAAACAGGGGAGATGATTATAAATTGGTTGAGTTGGTCAAGTAGCATTTTCCATATAAATAGCTCCATGGTTACTTTTGTCATATTGTATTATTTCTATGTCTGATTTGAACTCATTGAAGGCAAGAAGTAACTCCAATGATAGACTGGTGTAGGGTACGTAACTAGTAGACTGGTTCAGGACATGTAATGTGCATACACTAAATGCTTGTTTAATCCATATTGAGATATGGACTCAAGTGATCAGTGTGCACAGAAAGGGATGAATAAAATAGACCTGATGAGGGAAGGATTAGTTATCTTTAAATGATTGAAGCTGAGATGGGAGAGGCAAAAAGAACAGCAGAGATGGTTCCAGGGTTTTGACTTGGGTAACATAAAATGATTATATTTTTACAGAAGAAGGGAAGTCAGCAAATAATGAGTTTTGGAGATAAAATAGTGAGTTTGATTTTATTGCAGTTACTTTAGAGTCAGTCATTTATTTATTCAACAAATATGATTGAGTTTTTACCATGTGTGATGAGGTACTTTGTCCACATTATCTTTATAACAAAAAATAGTGTGTGCAGGTCAGGAGCAGTGGCTCACACCTGTAATCCCAGCACTTTGGGAGGCGGAGGCAGGAGGATCACCTGAGGTCAGGAGTTCAAGACCAGCCTGGCCAACATGATGAAACCCCATCTCTACTAAAAATACAAAAAAGTTAGCCGGGCATGGTGGCATGCATCGATATTCCCAGCTACTTGGAAGGTTGAGGCAGGAGAATCACTTGAACCCAAGAGGCGAAGGTTGCAGTGAGCCAAGATTGTGCCATTGCACTCTAGCCTGGGTGATAGAGCGAAACTCCATCTCAAAAAGAAAAAAAATAGTGTATGCCTTTCCTGTTATGCATTTGTCAGCTTCTTCCTCCTTTTTTCTTTCTTTCAGCTCCCTTTTGTTTTGTTCAATTGTCGGTATTTATTAATCAGTGTGATCTCCAACACATCAACATGATTTCATGCATTTGGAGGAGAACTATTTCCTACATAAGTGGAAAATTGTGTGAGTGACTTCTGGAAGACCTTCATTCTAAGCAGCTTTATGGTGAAACATTTTATTTAGAAATCTGGACCTTTGGCCAGGCACAGTGGCTCATGCCTTAATCCCAGCACTTTGGGAGGCTGAGGCAGGAGGATCACCTGAGGTCAGGAGTTTGAGACCAGCCTGGCCAACATGGTGAAACCCCATCTCTACTAAAAATACAAAAATTAGTCAGATGTGATGGTGTGCACCTATAGTCCCAGCCACTCAGGTGGCTGAGGCGTGAGGTAGAGGCTGCAGTGAACTGAGATCGTGTCACTGCACTCCAACCTGGGCAACAGGGAGAGACTCTGTCTCAAAACAAAACAAAAACAAACAAACAAACAAAAATCTGGGCATTCTTTCTTCAGTTTGCTATAATCCACATTCACTGAGAAGAACTTGTGTCAATCATTGGGACCCAGTTTGTTCCAGTGTTCTTTCTGGGTTATGGTTTCTGCCTCAATTAACACTTGGATTGAACAGTGCCAGATGCAAGACATCCAGTGTTGCTCCAGTACCTCCAGCTTCAATAAATTCAAGGAGAGGGATTAACCTCAGATGCTTCTTGGCCTGACTGAGGATCTGGCAGAGCATGTTTGCGGCAGAGGCCTCCTATTGGAAAGGAGAGAACCAGCCTAGCTATCTGGCCCTGGACTAGGGAGTAGTATCTCGTCTTTTTCTTATCATTGTTTTCTTG